GTCACAGGATCACAGAACTGCCTCCATTGGAAAAGACCTTTAAGATCATCCTGGAGCCCAAAGGCAGGTCAAGCTGGGGGCTGCATGGCCAAAGGTCTCAGAACCCAGAGAGCTCCCCAACACCAGTGCTCCAAGGTCCACAAACACCTTGCTAAGAGGCTAGGAGCACTCACCTGGGATGGGACAGCCCATCTTGCCATGTTCCCAGGCACACAATTCCCTTGGGAAGGGGTGCTGAGCCCTGGCACCTCCCATCCCCAGCACGCCAAGCTCACCTGGCCAATTTGCGCTTGTCATTGGGGTGCAGCTTGGCCGCCATCTCTGGGTCCACCTGGCTCAGACGGCGATGGAGCTCAACACCATCCAGCTGCTCCAGTTCCACTTTCCTGTCAGTGACCAGCCCAGGGACTGTGCTGGTCTTCTCCTGTGGGGGACAAGGCAGCCCTGAACTGAGCCACTCATCCATGTGCATGGCCAGTGCAAGCAAGAAGATCCCCCAGACCCCTGGGGTGAACGAGGGGCTTTTGGTTCTCATTGCTCCCCTTTAGCAGGGGGAGCACCACACCCAGTCACGGGAGCCTGCCCTGAACATGGGGTTCACCCTTTTCTGGAGGGATACACAGCTCCCAACAGTACCTTGGTGTTGATAAGGACCTTCCAGAGCAGGGACTCAATGTAGTAGTTGGTTCCTCCCACAACAATCGGGATCTTGTCTCGGGCAAAGATATCTCTCATTGCTCCCCTTTAGCAGGGGGAGCACCACACCCAGTCACGGGAGCCTGCCCTGAACATGGGGTTCACCCTTTTCTGGAGGGATACACAGCTCCCAACAGTACCTTGGTGTTGATAAGGACCTTCCAGAGCAGGGACTCAATGTAGTAGTTGGTTCCTCCCACAACAATCGGGATCTTGTCTCGGGCAAAGATATCTTCAATGTGCCATAGTCAGGGAGTGTAAGCAGAGATGCATGGAAGGGAGGGAAGGCTGTGGGGTGTGCCAGCCTGGGGCCCAGACCCCACTCTCCCAGCCTCACAGAGCCAGTGAGGCTGTAAGACAGAGTATCAGGTGTGCCTCATCTCTCACTATCTCTCTGCTACCTGTGCCAGCTACCACCAAAACTCAGGGACACCAAGGGAGGGTGATACTCAGCTCAGGACTGTTGCAGTGCAGCAGAGATCTTTCTTTAGTTGGGTAAAAGAAGCTCCAAGCCCCCCTCACCAGCAGTATCTTCTGAAAATCAGAGTTGGTTGTAATGTGGAGAGCCCAAGTCTGATGCAAACACTGATCCCTCTTGCAGGCCTCGCTGTGGAGGGGGGGAAGCTCATATCTGCTGAGCCAGGCAGGCTGCAGCGTGAAAGGATATCAGAGCCACGGCTTTGTCTCTGAAATCCACCACCGTGTAGTTAGAGACGAGGGGATCCACAAAGCTGATCATGTGGTGTCTGCACAGACGCTGCTCCTGGGGAGATACCTTGTTGGTGATGATGTCCAAGCCCTTGTACACCTGGGGAAGAGAAAAGCCCGTCATTCTCCTCTGTGTCCCATGAAACCCCCACCAACTACTGCCTGTCCCAGTCACCCCTCCGAGTCCCTGGCTGGTTTCTGGAGAAGCAGGCAGTGGCACGTGCCCTGTTCAG